ATCAGTCTTTAGACTCAACATACTAGAAGTAGGGGGTTAAGCAAAGGGCAAGCCACAATCCAGTGAGGCTTTTGTTTTTTGTTTTTCCTCTTCTATATTTATATCAGTTTAATACAGTGTTCATGAACAAAAAGGAGGCATAAAGCTGCAAGCTGAAACGGAACTGGAACTTCAGTTTGAAAAGGGACTTCATATAATTAAGGGATCATGTTCGTGGGGGAGGAGTATTCAAGGCTATAAATGACTTCTGAGAGTGGTTAAATGCCACTCTGAAGCTCAGACATTTGATCGTGAACCATTTGTTATGAATATCTGCCAGTGACACGAACATGTTCCTGTTATACAACATGGTGCAAACAACCCTCTAGAGGGGGAAAAAAAGGCCTTCTCTCTCCTTATTGTTGTCATTGTGAGAGTTTGAAGGCATTTTTCCTAGTTGCTAACATCATTAGTGACCTGAAGAAGAATGAAAGCATGGCCAAATCTGTACCAACCACAAAGATGCAACCCACAAAAATCCTTGCATCTCGTGTATTCCCTTGACCATAGCAGCTACAACATCACTCTGATCTTACTATATCATTATTTTTGATGATCAAGCCCTGTTCCTACTATTCGAAGGAAGAATCATGAAATGATTGAGGTTAGGACTAAGAAAATAACTGTTGGAAGGAGTGATTCGTATAGTAATGAAGGACATTGCGAGTCAGGTTCTGCTTTGTTCCTGCTCTGCAGTCTTTCTAACTTAGGGGCTGCAGGGGTGTAACTTGGAGCAGAATTTAGCTGATAATATTTGATGACTTAAAAGTATCAGTGAATTTCATTCTTGCTAGGTTATTTGCTGACATTCTCAACTTCTCATTCATGATGAGGTTACTGTGCTCTGCCATGTGCTTTGCTGATTGCTAATGTTATTTTGGTCTAATATAGCCAGTTTGTCACCCGAGTCATAATGTCATCCTACAGTTGATACCTTTATAGATGCGTTAATACCTTTATAGATGCACAAACATCTACATGAAACTTAATTTGGCATAGTGCATGTTATAGTCGTTAATAGGGCATCAGCTTTTCAGTTAAGTACTTCTCTATCCAGGGATTTATAACAGAAAGACTGGCACAATCTTAACTCTAAGGGCCAGTTACGAAAACTCCAATTTAAGAGGCTTAAAAATCTAATATGAAAGTTTAATCTAACTGAGAAAGTAATATCTACAGGATCTGCTGGCAAGCAGAGTATTCTGAAAAAAGCTTACAGCAGTGCTTCCCAACTTCTTCCTTGGCATGACCCCGTTTTCTCAGCATAGCCCAGGACATCATTTTCCC